AACAACTTCAGAATCTCCCGAAGGCAAATCTATTTCTCGATGGTTGTGTACCGAATAAGGTCGTTTTGCGAGAGCTTGACCCTCGATTCCGACGAGGTCCACCATGCGCCTCACAGCATGGCGGCGCGGGGACCGTGGTTGTAGATTTTCACTGTATCTAACACACTCTCTTTCCCTCCCCCCTGGGCCTGGTGTCATAATCGAGTAATGATCAGAGGCTGAAGAGGGCGTAGTCATAAGCGTTCCACTACACCGGTTCGGATACCACGGATAGTGTCATAGAAGCTATGCTAAAAAGGAATAATTGCAACCTGATTCAATGTGCGAATCGGCCGTTCCAGACACTAGACTGAGGGCAAATTTCGAGTTATCCTGTCACTTGACAGCGTTGCAAGCCAGGGATTTTAGCACACCATGGTAGCCAGAGGCTCCGACGACACATATAGCAGAGGAGCCACACAGAGAAGAACCAGAAGAACACACTTCTCACGTGTGATGTCGGGCGTGGTCATGCGTGATGTGGATGCCGGTGAAGAGAGCAGTGGTGATATGGTACGGCCGACGATGTTTTACCGGGGTTTTTACGAAAGCACATTTGGCCTAACAGGCCCGTACGGTAGGATAATATGCGTGGGTGGTGTAAGGTGAGACAGACCTATGTCAATGTTACTGACACTGCTTCGCCCGTATCTGTGCGAAGGATTCGCAAGTGACGGACCAAGCCGATGCATGTGCCGTACCAAGAAGAGTAGGATAGATTGAGAGCTGTAGAATCGGTTACTGTGATTAGGCTACTAATGGCGGTCGAGCTAGTGGATGGGGAGGTGCTGGAGGTTTCGAGTATGCAAGCTATACTTGGCGTGACTTTATCTTGTACCACGAAGGCGAATGACTAACCTCCAGACAGGCACAAAATGAACCGCACAACCTTCATTTAACACGCTTTTAAACGCTACTGCACTCCACCTACCATCCCATTGGCTGTTATAAATACACCATCAGTCATTGCGGCGGTTGAAGGCATCCAATCAGATAATCGTGATTGTGTACGCCAAGCTGTCAGCGAGGGGCGTAAGAAATGCGCGACATGACCGAACTAGGAATATGAACGCAAGTTGCGCGCGAAACAGCCAACTGTTTCGGCTTGTGGGACTGTAGGGAATATGAAAGGAAGCAGCTCTACGGCTGGAGCAAAAATCTGCCCCCTACCCAATTCTAGATGGAAACGCTCGGCAGGGATAAACGCTGGGGGCCAAAAATAGGCATATGGCGGTGAGGGGAAGAGATAATGATGATGGATGGGTCTGGGTACAGAAAGCCATGGAGGAATGACAGTCTGGTACGATTTTAAGCATGGAACGGGATCTCCTACTAACTACAGCGAGTGCAGGCCAGTCAGACACAGCAAGCCTTGTCACCGAGAGCATGCATAGGTTCAAACAAAAGTGCTGTAAACTGCGAAACCCTAAAAACCACCTGCTTGAAACGTACTTCTGCAAACTAAGGTGGATGAAGGACCCAGAAGCCTGTTAAGTTAAACTGATCTAGCCAACAAGGGGAAAAAACTGAAGACATATTTTATCAGGGAAACGAGACCACGAAAGCCAGAAAATGAAGGGGATAAAACCTGGGAGCCTACTTGGCCATAACAAAAGGAGCATATAGATTTTCTAGACGGTCGTCTAAGTTGTTTTCATATAGCATTTAATATTACTACTACGTTATGAGAATATTATTTTGTATTTCTGAATCTGCCGATGGCATACGACATCATAATGTTATCAATAATAAAGCGACCGCAAGTCACTCGGTACTGAAGACTCTTTAGTTAAGCCGGATATAAAGTACAATTATCTCGTACACCGAGGCCTCTGGTCCC